GATTAAGAGGTGTGTTCTCTTGAATGTGATTGTACCTAAGCTAGAGTATGCAGGAGAGGTATGGGAAGGTAACGAAAAGGCCGTCAAGCAGCTGGAAACGGTGCAGATGGCAGCGGCCAAGAAAATACTAGGATGTTCAAGTACAACGAGCAACACTGTATTGAGAGAAGAACTGGGAATGTACTCTCTTAAAACAAGAGAGACATGCAAAATTTGAATTGGCAGTACAAGGCAAGTAGAATGTCGGACGATAGACTACCAGCCATGGTTGACAAGGCAGCTCGGGGAAAAGCGACTCCAGGGAAGAAAGGAATCAGATGGGACAAGGTGGTAGAGAGGGTTTGGAAGGAGATAGGAGACGAGGAGGAGACATTGGACACGGAAGGGTTCGGGGGGTTCAAGAAGAAAGTCAAGGAGATGCTAAAAAGTAGGGAGGAGGCAACCCTTCGGAAGAAGGTACGAAGCGAAGACCACTTGGAGATATACGGGAAGTTGAAGGAAGGGATAGGGATGAAGAGTTACTTGGACGGCCCCATGGACTACACAAAAAAACTCAAGTTGCAATTTCGAGTAGTAGGCGATCTGGACTTGCCAGAACGGAGGAAGAGGAGGACAGACAGACATGTCCATGTGGCAAATCGGAGGAGAGTAGACCCCACATAGTTGGGGAGTGTGAGCTGTACAGGAAGGAAAGAGAGGATCTCGAGGAGGACATGAGACAGAGAGGGTGTGACATGGACAAGTTTGGTAAATTAGACAACAGCGAAAAAACGATCGCGGTAATTGGGGATAGATGGTGGGCACAAGAGGCCGTAGAGGACGGGGATAAGATGTGCAAGGAATTTTTATGTAGTTTGTAGCAGAAACGTAAAGAGCTCCCAAATGTTGGTGGTATCTCTAATAGGGGTAGGAACGGTGCTCCGTCTCGAAAGGGACGCGTGGTCAATGGTCAAATGACTACGGCAAGCAACAAATGAGTACGCCCCCCCCCCCCCGCCCCTCTCTGTGCCTCGCCTGCGACCCGCTCAGAAGCATGTTGTGGTCGAACGGGTTCCAACTGAGCCTGTTCACGCTCCTGTCGTGCGTTCCGATGATGTTACCCGTTTCTTCCCGGAGCTGCCCCTGCCCCGCCCACGACTGAGACGACGATGACGATGACGTCGATGATGACAGGTGCTGCAAGTCCCACATCGCGACGCCGCCGTTGCTGAGTGACGCCGCCACGTTCCCCCCGGAGGGCCGCCAAGCCACGTCGTACATGCTGCGGCTTCGTGCGTACAAGTAGACGACGCCGCAAGCGGGAGACGGACGAAATTTTTGGACAGCGATCAAAGCGAAAACAGCGTGCGGAGGCATTTAACGCGGGAGACAAACGAAACAGCGGACGGGTTTCCCTGAACCGTAGCAATCAATGTACAACACTTATGGTGGTTAGGTGGTCGACAAAAGGAGTCTCGTCGAAATTCAGTGCGCGCTGGAAAAATGATTGTAGTTGGGGCAGACGGTAGGGTGTTCTCGTCCAGGCTCGAAGGCTCTCTCGCCCCCCCCCCCCTTTCCCCCTCGAGGCCAAGTGTTAAATCGATTGAAGCAAAACGGCGAAAAGTTATGCTTTCCTCAAAGTACCACATTGCTGTCGGGGCGGGGAGCGGTATCGTCAAAGGTTTGGCCCTTAGCCGTGTGTCACGTTAGAGGTGGCGCGTCCGTTGCCAGGTTCCACTTCTAACCACAAAAAAACTCTGCAACACCTGGACGCTGGAGGTGCTTCAAATGTCGCGTTCATATCATTTTTAGTCCCCATTCCAAGCCTCGCCCTTCTGGTTTCGGCCAAAGTGAACGCGCCTGCTACACTGGGGTGGAGATTGTTTTCGCTCGCCCTGCCTGTTGTGCCAAACGCATCCACATCGTACCCCGGGGGTCTTGTACTATATAGGACCGCAAACACGAGCCATGGGGTGTCCCCACACAGCAAACGCAGCGAGTGCGTAAGTTGGGTAGGAGATTCTAGTGTACAGCAGCACAAAGCGCAACCCTCCGCCGAAGCTCAAAAGCACCGAACGGTGACTGAACTCAACGTTGCTCTAGATGGTCTTCCCTCGTCGGAGCAACGTTTCGCCTGGTGAGAGTCGAAAGTGCAACTTCCAATCGAGGGGACACCTTCCACAGAGCGCGGAGTCGTATTCCTCGAAAAGCACGACGACGACCGCTTCGATGGCGTAGCAGATCTAAGCTATTAGTACAAGGGAGGATACGCATGCTGCGCATCCCGCTCGTTTCTTATTGTTGTGTCACCTCAGCTTCGAACCCGCGCTGCCGGTAATCTTCCGCCTCCCGATTTTAAGGGTTGCCACCTCCGAAAGGCCCTCAGGTGCTAACCGGATCACCTGTTATTCCATATGGGTGGAGCAGGAGATTAGAAGAGAGCGCGTGCGGGGAGGAAGGGGACTCAGAGTCCATCACAGCGTGGCACCATCTACGAAACAGATGTCCGTGCGTACTCATAACTTTGCACGCTCACTGCTACTGGACATCGACAGCGTATGACGCTCCTGGAAAAGTGTCACCCTAGTTGTTACGTGGTACCCTGAAACTCAGGGTGAAACCGATAACTTCTTGTATCAGGAGGGGCACATGTTGCTCGTAACTCTTCTTAGTTTAACAGCCCTGGTGTGCGTAGAGCAACGAGGAACCGACATATGCAGCAGGCGTGGTACTGATGTAGGAGTTCTCGGAGTAGTGCGCCTGACAATTCAATCTCGCAGGTTTCCTTTTTCCTGCAATCGTCCATACTACTGGTGTGCTGTGCGCCTGTATAGGCACGCGGTGTATGTAGATTTGCGCAACGGACAAAGAGGTGTGGCATATTTGGCTTCGCTGCTGAAGGAAGCTGTATAATTTACGAACACAAGAAGCAGTACACTCGATCTCATGATTGTATGCATCTGTATATAAGCAGCATCCGATCAACGACAACTAATGCGTACCCTAATCATAACCGCACATATCCTGTCGCTGTGTCGGTGAAAAAAACATACCTTCATGATGCCATGCCCCCCGACAACAGCAAGGCGTTGATCACTGGAGAGCGAGATGGCGGTCAGTGGGGTAGACTGCCCGCTTTTCGCAAGGGTAAGCTCAGCCACCACGCCTCGATTTGAGGTGCCAGGCGCCATAGCAGAAATGGCCATGGTGAAGCAGAAGACTGCTTATTCCCTCCCCGTGTCAGCAGCACAGGATATACTCAACAACGCTCCCTCGTGCTCTTTTGCATATACCCTTTCGCGTGCACAGCTCGACGTCCAGGGTGCAATGGTCGGGACTGTCAGCATATCAGCATTGAGAGCTGGATACGGGATGCGGAATGCGGGATGGAATGGGAATGGTTCTCATACTTCGCGGAATGCCGTTTCGGACAGATTTCCTAAGAAATGCGTCTCAATTAGAGGTGATCGATGAACATGATGATGTGCGACTGATGATGTGATACAATCTTCAATCAATCAACGACCGTGTTCAGCAGTCATTACCTCCAGCCCTTCACCTGCATGCCGAAGTGACTGCGCCGTTGCCTCTCCTAAGCGTGAAACCAACGATTCAACCAGTCGGTGAGTCCTCTTTGTCGATTATCGCTCAACATCACTCACTGGCTGTTTTGGATGCCACCTTTGTCGTGATGTTGTCGCGAGGTCTGCTCCTGTGCTCTAACACTCTAGGCCCCGTCAGCCACCCAATAGTTGTGGCTGGGTTGTTTTCAAGGTGATGTGTCATCGCTTATGTGAACGAACGGACGAACAAACATGCAACGCAGAAGTCTACCCGCTGGGACCTGCAGCAATCGTGCGGGGGATTGATTGCACTTGTGCGGCGAACCAACAGCTGCTGGCGCTTCATCATGGCTCGCCGAATGTCAAGCTTCGTTCAAGTAAGCGAAATGTGCTGCGCACCAGTTCACAACGTTGTAGAGTGATGATTGCTCACGGGATAGTGGCCAGATTTGCCCCCTCTTCTCTGTCCGCTGTTTCCAGCATGTAGCCACATCACATGGAAGCGGGAAAGATGTCCATTGCCGGGCGTCTACACTATCTCCGTCAGAAGCGACGCGCTGCAAAGCTCGTTGTTAGTAAACTTGATCGACTTCATAAGTCGCGAGGGAAGGGATTGCTGTACCCTTCTCGCGATAAAAATACCTCAGGCAAGAACCGCAGGAGGGGGTCCAACACCCCCCTCCTATGCGACCCCGGTTGGGTCGTCGAGCCGGTAGAAGTGGAGGATAGGGGCCAGAGGGGCAGACGACAGAGTCCGATGATGGGAGAAAAACAAACAAACAAAAAACTATTGGAGAGTGCCTACACCTCTTTTTCATTAGGGCGCATGGGGGATCGCAGTGTCTGCTCTTCAAAAAAACCAAAACACCAGAATATCTCAGTTTGCCAAAGTCTAACTCCAGTATGAAACTTCCAAGGCCAAATTAACTGTCCGCTCACACCCCCTCCTGCAAATGATATTGTGAGATTGATTGTAGCCCTTGCGATACACTGCAGAATAGCGGTCCCCGATTGTTCAGACGATCCTCCTATCATCGAAACCGGTGAGCTACAAGCCCGGTTTTTGAAGCTGCTGTGCGGTCCAATTTGAAACGCTTTTAAGCGCACAGAAACGGCCAATCATCTCCGATTGTGAGTGCGTGGGGCCGCGATTTTCAGCCCAGCTTTTCCCCACATGTCCTACTTGTCGCTGTAGTCAACTTGATTGCCTGGGGTGATGGATATGTACAGTAGGTCTAGCCACAAGCAAACGTGCTTCAAGCGTTTAAAATCGGACCGCACAGCAGCTTCAAAAGTCCTGCCTGTAGCTCACCGATCTCGATGATAGAACGATCGTTTGGAAATTGGCGGACAAATCTGCAGTGCATCGCAAGGGCTACAATCGATCCCACATTATCATTGTACGAGGGGGGGTGAGCGGACGGTTAATTTGCGATGGAAGTTACTAGAAAGAGTCCTTGAAAACTGAGATATTCAGGCGTTTCCTGGGTTTTTGAAGAGGAGACAATGCTTTCCCCGTGCTCCCTCAACGACAGCGATGAACGTCTCTGATCACCTGAAGATTACGACTGCCCAGCTTCAAGAGATGTGCCGAAGTTGCAAATAAACAGGGTCAGCTCCTCGACTAGTCCGTGGCCTGCAACTCCAGACGAGCTAGTCTACAGTACATCCCATGTTGCTCTGAATGACAATCCCACCACGTGGGTACCCGCTTTGCCCATCCTGAACACAAGGGTCAGCAAGCCAAGCCAAGCCCCGCTTCCCGAACTGTTCCATTGTAGCCCAGACGTTGCTTCGTAAGACGTTGCTGAAATTGCCATGTGACCTCATCCCGGATTGCGTTGTGCCCCGTACGTAAGCCCACTGTTTCCGTCACATTCAGGAAAGGCTGCTCCGCGAAGTAACATGAATGACATGGGTCTCCTGCTCTAGCCAACATTGTAGGACGTAGTTTGTAGGCTAGAGCTAGTATCCAACCTTGACTAACGGAGTACGCAAAGTTGATCGTCGGAGTGGGAGCTGATCCGGCGGGATATCGACGAATTGAAATGAAAAAAAGCGGTTGACCGCCGGATACATGGATTATCCAGCCACCAATGGACGAGATGATTCTCCAGCGGTGCTTTGCTCTGTCCCGATCTCAGAAGGTACCACGTGGAACGCTTTTCCAGCACCATCAACTCCCCCAGAAAGATGCACGGAAGAACCCGCCAACCGGCACACACAGACTCTCTCCTGTCCGCCCCCCCGCGAGACCAGAAATACGCCTGGGGGAAGCCCGGCGATCAAAGCATTGTGGCCAGTCTCAAGGCCGCCGGCGATTCTTCCTACCAGGTCGATGTTGATCAACCGTACGCCGAGATGTGGATCGGAACTCACCCCAGCGGGCCTTCGAACTTGCTGACTAACAGCGGGAGAGTTGGACCGCTTCTGAAGGTAACTTGGCTTTACGCTCGACATGGTTTGGGGTTCCTTAGCAAGAAATATCTATTGCCCGGGTGTAAATGAGGAAGCGCTGAGCCTGTTGTCCAAGTGCCACGTTCTGTTTAACAAGATGTTGGGCTTTCGAAAATGTCGAGTTCTTCCATTGCTGGTGCCTTTAACTCACTGCCACTGCAAGAAAAAACGTTATCGTTACCAAGCAATAAAACCGGTATCTAGCGCCGTTTTCCAAGGCAGGTCTTGCTGATCAGCAACGGGAACGCACTCACACTACCTCGGTGCGGGGCGTCATCAAATTTCAGCGAAACTCAAGCCAACAAGAAACCACAGATATAATGGTCGGAAAGGATTATTCCGAGTGGTTAAAGGCGGCACAACGATGTGCTGTAAGTATTCCACCACAAAAGGGACTTGATCAGGGGTCCCCAAGATTACACACGAACGGACGAATACAAATTCCAGTACAGGGTCATGTGTTGTATTCTTGCCCCTCCCCATCGTCCGATCTTTACCTTGTTGAGCGGCGCGTAGTCATAGTTTCACCATGAGGATCATACCATGGTTGCCACAAGTGGCAAGTTGTTGAGCCCAAGACCTAAACTCTGCGAGATATATCGGTTTCCCAATGGGCACTGCCACAGGTGGTCAATCCCTCATGGAAAAACCAGCAACGTGACCATGCGTCGGGTTCGGTGCTTGAAGGGTGGTCAGATCCGGGTTGATTCCGAAGTAGCACTATCGACAGTGAAAACTTGGTCGTTTCCAGGGGAGCTCTCACGTCAGGTTTTGGAAACGGTGAGCGCATAGCAATGCCCAAACACGTCGAAAACACGAGTCATGCTGCCATCGAATGCCGCCTTCATCGCGTGGACTACCTATCGTCTCATCTGACCGTTGAAGTCCCACAAATGTTGTGGGGTCTGTGCAGGACCACCTCGCTTCTGAACCCGAAGCTTTGGGCGATATTGCACACAAGGGCGACCTGCCGTTCCTCTTTAAGGTTATTTCTATCAACAAGGCGCTTAGCATCCAGGTGAATCTCATTCGTTCGCGTGTCTCTACTGACTTGCGTGATTGATTGAGTGTTCTCGCATGTGCAACGTTGCTCGGGTTAAAGCTTGTGAACACACGAAAACCCCACAGTGCAGCCAGCGGTTTTCAGCTGCTGCTGCCACAATCATTTACCCCCCCGTCTTCAACGCGAGGGTGCGCAGCATCGTTTCGGCCGTGTTGCACACTGTTCGTATTGTATCATAGTGCCAGCTGTCACTTCCATTATTCCTCCAATGCACCACAGAATCGGCTTCCGCACAACATCTGTGGCCTAACCCAATGCATGCCATAGCTGCCTTTGACTAACTCTGGGCTACACCGCTGTCGCCAAATAGGCGCACCCGAACAAGAAGCTCGCGGAGAGGCTCCACGCCGAACGCCCCGAGGTGTACGCGGACGACAACCACAAGCCCGAGATGGCCGTGACCCTGTCCGACTTCGAGGCCCTGTGCGGATTCCGGCCGTTCCAGGAGATCATCTGGAATCTAAACTTTTACCCCGAGCTGCGCGCCCTCGTTTCTCTGGACGCCATACATCAGGTATGCAGCCGGGGACTTGGGACACAAATGGAGATTCTAAGCTATTAATACTGCCTTGGCTATATCTACCATGTACATCATCCCCATTTTTTCCTAATCATCCAGATTTACGTAGAATTCTTGCAGATTATGGTTTTGAAGGACATCCTCTTAGGAAAGATTTTCCTTTAAGTGGTTATCTTGAATAACGTTATGATGAAGATCAAAGAGTTGTTGTTTGTGAGCCTATTGAATCAAGTCAAGAATTTCGTTCATTTAATTTTCATATTGAATCCGACGGTTCCCACATCACTAGTCTTACAGAATTCCGTCGTGATTCGGTTAGGTATGAAACCTACCGCCGCGGTCATACATGAGAGAAACAGAACCCCCTTCTGAGGCGGTGCTTTGAGCCTGTCAAAGGAAACGTCACGGTGGAATCAATAAACATTACAAACAATGCTGTAGTCTGTCTTTCTGTGTGTGTATTTATTTTTCCCATCAGGGTCAACAGCCCTCATATCTCACGGGGTATCAGCCCCCCTTCCTGATGCCCTTCCTCGTTATCTTTCATACCGTTAGAGAAGAATAAGATGGGGTCAAGTTTCCGTTGCACAAGGGTGTGGCCTTGAACGGGTAGCAGTTTTACTCACTCTGCCCTTGTGCTAGCGTATGCTGCGGGTGGAAATGTATTCATCGGCAGGTGGTGCTGCATGGTTTTCGGGTGGTCGACCATTTGTCTTTCGCATATTAGCATCGTGTTAACAAACTGCCACCCGGTGATCCGCTGCCGCCCACGGTGTCAAGAACCGAAAACGCAATGAATGAGGCAACGGTTCGCTTCTAAGCACGTATCGCTTCCTTCACGATGAGGACAGATGATGACGGCTGGGGATGACATCGAGAGGCAAAAGTTCGCCCTCAGGGAGCTCTTCCGCTCCTACAACAACGCCGACAAGGGGACTGTGAAAACCCAGGTGCCGTGATGTCTACAAAGAGGATGCGACAGTCGTGTACCGGTGCATGACAATCCTAGAAACTGGGCCGATAGACAGGTCCCAGCGACGCCTAGACCACCTTGATAGGTTGTGTTCAGATATCCACCTTCAGCATCGTTCGCGCTCTGTTCACACGTGCTCCTCCTGCCGCCCTGTTGATTCCCACGAAATGCGTTAAGATAATGATTTTGTTGCCCAAGCAGAACATCCAAACACGTTCCGCGCCCGTTAAGCGAAGACCTTCAGTTTATCCTTCCGCACGGCCAACCTTTCACACAGCTAGTGCCTGTCGTGAAATGAAAACAATAGATAGACCGGCTGGTCAAGAGGCTGGATTGGGCCTCCGGGATCCCGTTGGTCGGAGAACAAGACCCAGGAATGGTCGAGACCGAAATCAACGCTCAAGGCGCAGACGAGGTAGGTTTGCTTGACCGTGACATCATGCTGCGTATTCCACCGGTTTGGTGCTGATGAAGTCGACGCTGAAAGAAGCATTCTAGTCTAGTTGAATATCACCAGTGTACTCGTCGCGGTATCGCCTTGATAGTACTGTAGTGTATTCGAGGTAGTCGAGAGCAAGAGTCCAACACATATCGAAGTCGACAAAGGAAGTCGGCCAAAAATCCAGTAAAATTGCTATTGTTGTAACGTCGATGACGATTTCATGGGGCAGCCGTGTAGAAAAGTTGGTTGTTGGTGTCGCTTTCACGCGCCTCGCAATGATAACCTTGGCGCGATCTACAGGGCGACGAGGAAGAGGCCCAGAAGACGCAATTTACGGAACAAATGTTTGAGGCGAGATTTCGCCAGGGTTGTCCGACGAGTGAAGCACTCGAGAAAAGGTAGGAGAACTACAATGGGAGGAACTCTGACCGGAAAGGAGGGAAACATGAGTTGAGCTGACAAACTGGGAGAGCGGGCGCATGAGTTTCTTGCGAGGAAGACGTTCCCCATGGGTGAAAGTGACAAACGTCTAGCCCCAACAAGGCAACGATGTTTTGGGTTGGAAAGTGCTGACCCAAGACGAGACAATATTTGAAGTTTGACAGATAGTTCGCAGGCGAGTGTGCATGTGTCCCTTTTGTGTCTGCGTGACAAGCGCAATCGAACGAAAGAAAGAACGAACGAGCCGCCGCAATGATGTGATGCGTGGTTCGGTGTGATGACGCATTCTCGATGCTGCTTCGTGGAAGGGAATGAACTGTCCGCACGACAAACAAACGAACCGCAGGATGAAGAATGGCACACCCGATGTTGTTCGAGTGATGCTCCGCCTGTCGACGGAGTACCCGGGCGACCTAGGCATTCTTATGCCCCTGGTTCTGAACCTGCTGATGCTCAAGACCGGGCAGGCGTTCTTCATGACCGTCGACGAACCGCATGCATACCTCCGCGGGGACATTCTTGAGGCACGTACACACGGACGGCCGCACCCTAGGCGTATGCACGAAAATGGGCTACCTTCATTATGTCGCTACCATGGGGGATCGAGGGGCGGCTTAGGGAGCAGTGGGCCAGATGCACCACGTTGTCGTTCCATACTTCGTGATGATCTCGTGCACCGTTGCAAAAAACGAAGGCGTGTGCAAAGATTAGTCTGATGGCCCAGTGCATGCGCGTTCATTTGATTTCACGACTTTGAAGACACGTAGATTATGTAAGCATGTACTTAATATCGAGCGAAACGCATTCACCTAGCATGCTGTTCCTCATTGGGTCTGCTTCTTCAGTCTTTCATTCCAAGTCGTTTTCTTTCTTATTCTCTTGTTGATTTGATTGTGATGGATAAATCATCACCGTGCCCTTGCATTCTCCCTCTGTGACCCCGTGGCCAGACGGCCGTTATAGCCCGGTCTCTCTATTCACGCTGATCTTTCGTCGCAGTGCCATTTTCGATTGTCCGCATCCGAGCCCTAACTCTGCCTCCGTCCAACGCACCAGTGCATGGCGTGCTCCAATAACGTGGTACGGTGCGCCTTGACTCCCAAGTTCCGCGACGTGGACCTTCTGGTGGACATGCTCTCGTACAACATGGCCGCACCCGCGGTTCTTCAGCCGCACGTCATCGACGACAATCGCAAGCGCTTCACACCCCCGGTTGACGTCTTCGAGATAGAAATGATTAACGTGAGTGCATTGGGCTCACTGCAAAGCAATGTGACACGCGCAGTCGTGTAATTGTACCATGACATATGTTTCATGTGGGAAGGAGCGTCTCGTCGGTCTGCTGTTGACCTGCCCGCCCCCTTCAACACCAAAAATGTCCAGTCCCAACGTTTCACTTCAACAAATTTCTTGCACTAGATGCCGTTTACGAAGGAAGATAATCTCATCACTACCGTGTTCTCTGGAATGACCTGCCAGTCGTCTCATCATGTGCTCGTTCCCCAACCCGTAACAGGTACCCGGAAACGACGCGTACCGTCTGAATCCGATGCCGGTGCCGGCGGTGCTGGTGACCCTCCACGGGGCCCAGGGAGGTTTACTTCTAGACGAAGACACCGGGAAGGAGGTGATGGAGAGAGTGAAATGTGGGATAGAGCGTGTGCGAGCAGCTGTCATTTATCCATGAACCGTTCAGACTTGCCGAGACTTCCGTGGGGGCACCTATGGTGCTACGATAGTTGCAACGTCGGGTCTGAGGTTTCCTCGGCTCTCCACGTGCTTACGAACACCACGATCAGGGTGCCAGGTCGCACGCACCACAAGCAGACTTCCCTCGAAGTGCCCTTCCAATCCCTCGACGTGGTACCGTTGACCAATCCATCATTCGCTTATACGTCTTGATAAATTTGCAGATCCCAGCCGCTGAGGGAGGCATTTTCTTCCTTCCTGCCAACACGTACTGCACAATGGTGTCGGGAAAGAAGTCAGACCTCCGGATCGCCATGGCTCACACCAATCTCAACTGGGGGCCGGTGACACCCAGGGGTACCGGGGCTCCCAACTTTTGAGATGTTCTCTGCATGTGTCGTTTGGGTTCCATCGATAGCACCGAATATATACCAAGCGTGTGGAGGGAGGCACAGGCGATGAGTAGGTGAGGAGTTAGAGTACAAATGCGACGACGTCACACCTTTGGCCGCGTGCGATTCTTTGCGGGGTAAGACGTGAGAGGCTAGATATATTGGCGTGCATATGTGTTTCTTTCGACGCCACGCCGCGCTTCTCTTCGTGTGTGTGCTATAAAATGAGGTACAACGTGCAAATTGGTGTTGTCTTTGTCTATCCCCTGCAAGACGTGTAGTCTAGACTATTTTCTTTTTGTGTCGTACACGCGATGCCGTACTGAATCGTTGGGCGATTCAATCGTTGCAACATTTTTCCCGACAACAACTTATCCACCGTCCCTTTGCGTGTGCTCTCCTGGTGGAGCGACATTTGGCTAACGGGTATATGCCTTGTTTGGTGTCGACGTTGAAGCGAAAATCTGCGGCCTGGGGGAGGTGGTTGACAGGTTTAATAGTTGTTTCCATGTGTTTGTGTGCTCCTCTGTTTAACTTCAAAGTAGACGAGAATATTTTTTGCGTGTGAGCGGGGATGGTCGTGTTTGATTGTAACAATGTCGCAACAAACTCGGGGAGAGTGTCGTATAGCACGGTGAGGAGGTGTTCCACTTTCAAGCGCGAGTAAGCGGCTTGACGCGGCAAATGTGAATTCTCGAGTAAATCTCCTGCCTACTCCTCGAGTTCGCAACGAGTGTTCCAAAGTCCACGCCGAATGAACGAGAGGCACGATTTATGTGTGCTGCCCGCTTTGGCGACTGAACAACGAATCATGGGACAATTCTGTGCTTGTCCGGGAGGTCAGGGCAACAAAAAAAAGACAATACACGACAACGGTCAATCCTCCCTCCGCACAAATGACGTACCGTAGGGGAACAGCCCACCACGAGTCATTTTGGGATCCCGGACTGTTGGCCATCTTGCATTTTTTGTTTTCGTTCTTGTGAAATCCATCAACGCGACCTACCAGGTGACGAGAACCCGCAGTACATTATATTGGCGGACTAGCCCGCTGGCATCGCTTGTTCTGGGTCCTCAAGTCCCGCTCGTGTCAGCGTTGACAAACTCTGCCGTCTTGTTCGTTTCCCTTACTCGCTGTGCCTCGCGTTCACAACGTGAGCTCACCGATTCTACCTGGGCACAGCTCTTCCTCAGGGAGACACTCCGCGATGCCCACGGGGTACACATGTACACCAGCATACGGGACAATCCAGCAAAAGCCTCCGCACGAGCATAAACCCCTCATGAACTAATAGCGGCATCCCCTTTACGTAACGAAATGCATCTTTATACATCGGGAAGGAGCCGACTTACTTCCTCGTCCAAGTTCACCCTAAAGGCAACACACCAGGTTCCTTGTCAGAGAGCTTCCTGTTCCCCGCTCGTCAAAGCAAAACAACCGGAATTCCGTGACCACACCTTTTACGCGTCTCCACAGCTCGTTACAAAGAAAAACTTTTCAATACCCGTGGCCACAACTTGCCCTTCCCAGCTCGTCAAAGGAAAACAACCAAAAATCCAAGGCAAACAAAACGGAAGCGGCCCTCACTCAAGAGCCGCTTGTTCTTCGCAACCTTCGCTCATGGAATGATCGATGGGGACGCCAGCACGGAAATACATAGGCCAAGTTCTGACGTGTCGAAGAATTCCCTCGGTTTCCTAAATACATGAATTTCTCTTGGCGCGTTCTGTACACGAAGCAAAAACACCAAAAATCAAAAGGGTATCTCCTCTAACAACCCACTCCTCTATTGTATGAGTGTGACAAAATTCGAGTACGCGGCAGGGGTCACTGATCTATACAGCAGACGATTCAGCCACCCCCGCACCCCCCCCCCTCGTTGAGGCAGGACTATCCGGGGGGTGGCCTTTATAAATTCAAGTTTAATTTTCTGAAAAGCAGACACATGCATAGGTACATGACTAACGAGCACTCTAACGTACGGGGGAAATCGTGCACTCAGCCACCGTTCGCGCGCGCACGTGGCTCGGAGAGCGATCAAGCATGAAACTTACCAAATGGGGTCTAACAGCTACAATCCTCAAACAATACAGCGGAAATAGGTGGTGCGCTCCAATCTAGGAGACCCGCACATCAACACGCGCGAAAGTAGCACTGGCCACCCGTAACCAGACAAGAATCAGCAAAGCACAGGTAACGGGCGGCCCCACTTGAGCTTGATCTCAACTACGCCACACGTACACCGTTGTGACTACTCCGAAATCCCGTGGAGAGGGCGACACGCGGGGCTCGCGATGACGACAACGCAACGCCGGGCGTCCGTCTTGGCAACCTCCCCTCGAAACGCGCCCCAAGACAAAACACACGCGGCTAAGCCGGCGACACCACCGGCATCCTCGCGGGGGACACAGGCGACCCGGGAGCGGTCAACACGGCGATCGAGCAGCACTCCGCACCCGCCCCTCCCGGCGCGTCCGCCACGTCCGCGAGCTGGTCGCGAAGGTTGTACGCCGCCCTCCTCCCCCCCTCCAGCAAGCCTTCCATGGTGTACGCCGCCCTCCTCCCCCCCTGCAATAGCCCTTCCATCGTGTTGGCCCCTCCCTGCAGAAAGCCTTCCATGGTGTAGGCCGCCCGTCTGCCCCCCTGCAGCAGTCCTTCCATAGTGTAAACGGCCCGCCTGCCGCCTTCCAACAGCATCGCGCTCGCCGTGCGCACGGCCCACCGTTCTTGCTCCTCCTTTTCCTCGACGTCGGCACCGCTCCCGCTCCCGCTCCCGCTCCCGCTCCCGCCCCCTCCGCCATCCCCACCGCCGCCGGTTGCCCCGCTACCCCACAAAATCCCGGGGCCACGATAAGCGTCCCCTACCGTTGGGAAACGGAGCCCGCTTGCGGCGAGCGACAGAAGGCTGGCGAGCCGTCTGGCCGCCGACTCGGCGCCGCTTAACGGCATACCTCGCCTCCCAACAACCTTGTCTCCACCACTTGCTCCCGCGCCGCCGGTGCCATCGACGTCGGCTGCGCTATCGACAATGGCGGCGTGGTGCCCGCTGAACCAGGCCGCTCGATCGGGCCACGCCCACTCCTTGAAACCCGAGGCCTCGGCCCCCGCCGCAGCGGCGGCGGCCGCCATCGCCAGTATCCCGACCATCGCCGAAGCTGCCGCCGCCGAGCTCGCCGCAGACGCCGCCAAAGCCGTCGCCGCCGCTGCCGCCGCCAGCGGGGCCGTGGGGACGCCGCCCTTGCGGCTGCGCGCTAGGTCAATCACGAGGACGTCCTCGTCTGTGCCGTAGCTGCGACGCGCCCTGTCCAGCGCCTCCGGCGTGAGCGCGATGCACGCGTGGGCGTTGGGGTCCCCGCCTCCGGCGCCGCCTGGGGCTGTCGCCATCGAAGGCGTGGACGACGTGAGAGCGGGGTCCCTCGCGATGAACACCCGGTCCGCCTCGCTCCACCCAACGAGAAGGATGTAGTGCCCGCAGTAGGACGAGTCTTTCGGCGACGAGGCCGCGCGATCGCCGCCGCTGGCAGGAGGAGACACGAGTCCGGCGGCCTTGAGCGGCGGCGGCGAACCGACCAATATCGGTGGAGGGGAACCACGGGGAGAGCCAGCAGGCGAAGGCGCTTGAGCGGAGACCGGAGGCGACACCGGTCCCGTGGCGGAAGGCATTGCGCTCTGGACGGGGGGCTCCGCCGACATCTGGTCATCCCGCCTACCGTTTTCCCCCCCCTGCTGGCTGATTACACCGGCGGTGCCCCCAGCCCGTGAAGAGGCGCCCAGGTCTCCTGCCAAATATTTCCTCCCGCTCTTAGGTGCCGGCGGGGTCACGAACACCGCCATATCGCCACCGTCGTCTCCGACTGCAGGGGACAACCGAAGATGTCCCGTGTTTGCGTCTCGCGCGCTCAGGGGTGATGCAAGCGCCGCGCTCGCTCCGGAGGCTGCACCCAACGCCTCTCTAGGGCCACCGAGAGAGCGCTCGATCGGTGTCGCTCCTGCGGGTGCCGGCCTCTTTCTCCGCCGCCTTACCGCATCACCTGCCCCCGCCGCAAATTCCCCAGAGCCCCCCCACCCACGAGCGCCTGCTTCCTCTTCAGCTTCTTCGCGGTGGCGCTTAGGAGTGCTCCACGATTGCTGAGGCGGCGTCGACTCGACGGCATCGACGGCGGCCGGAGACGGTGGGGCTAGATATGGCGATGGCGGACCTAGCACCGGTGCCGACGGCGCCAGCGCCGGGGCTGCTGCTGCTGCTGTCGACCCTCGGTACGATGTGGCGTGAAGGTAGCGGGAATCTACAAGCACTATGGCGGCGTAGTTGTAGCTCGACACGAGCACGGCTAGCTCTTGCCAAGAGAAGGTTTTCTGGACGGCGCCCACGTTGGCCTCCTCCGCCGCCTGGAATAACCAACCGCGAGAGCGCCAACGGGCGGGCGAGCTGTGACGTTGGAAGTGGCGCCTTTCGATTATCGATGGTGAGGCAGCTAGAAAACCCAAGGCAATCAGCTGCCAGTCACTATACTGCGCACGGGATTGGGAAGCATTTTGCGAGGCAGTAGTAGCGACCTGCAGCAGACGATCCGAATGGTGCACACCAACAAGGCAGTTGGGAGGAAAGCTTGCCTCTCCTGCAACAAACAAAAAATAAAAAGAGGAGTGCATCTAGCAGGACTCCCGTTCTCAGCCGCGTTGCTCTGTACAACATTTTTCATGTGTGACATGAGACTGGGCTGTATGCACGTGAGAAAAAACAAAAACCCATCTGGGCTGCCGTCACCTTGAACAACGACTGCACCCGGGGAGCGTCGTGGTCGAAGTTGGCGCGGTAAAAGTCGATCGTCGAGTACGCCTCGGTCACCCCCACGGTGCGGGTTCCGTACATGAATCTGCAAGAAGCAGCAGCCGTAGCAGCAGGCACCAACCAAAACGAGGAACAGGCTACAATGTTAGCGTTGCGCGCGACACACTACAACGCTACACAGCGCAGCGATCATATTTACATGGTTTTGGAGGGAAAAATATCACGTTGTTCGTACATGCGCGGAGATTGCCTTTCGGGAATCCATGCACAATTGCACCCACGTTTGAAAAGGAAAAAGGAAACATGAAAAAAAACGTGCGCATGTGGGGCACGTTATGAGCTCGGTGGGTTGACTTGCCAGCGGATTCGGCAAGAGAAAAACAAACAAGGAAATGCCAACAATGGATCCTATCTATCTCGCAGTCCATGTGACCGAAAACGCACACACCACACGAACGGCACGGCCGCCTCCGCCACCACCCTCCCCCTCTCTGAATCAACAATGATAGCAGAGCTGCGGGACAGCAAAACTGCCCACGACAGCCACCGAAACACGATGTTTTGCAACAATAACCTAACAGCAACCATGCTCACGACTCGCCTGACTCCCTGGCGGTGCAAGAGCATGGCCAGGTCGATCGTCCAGACGCTGCGGGTACCGAGAGACGCGAGCAGGGACGACCTCTCAGCTTCTCGGCCGAGCCCTCTCAGGACCATCTGGGCGCAGCTTACGCCGCAGTCCCAGTGGCAAATCTGGCTCACGTGAGGTGCCTGCGGAGACGCGCCAAACACGAGAGGCAGACCAAGGAGTTCAGATCTTCTAGCAAGACAAAAAAACGCTCCAAGGCACCGATGGCCCACGGAAGGCAGTGCTCCGCACGCAAGACGATACCCAGTTAAGGTTACACCGTCATCTAAAAGGCCGGAGGTGTCGCGAACACGCGCTCGGGGAGACAATGTGCCGTTTCCGACGGCGAACTCATAATCGTTCCGCGTGATACAGAGTGACATGAAAAAAACTCAAACATGAAGATGAAAACAGTCACTGCGTCCTGCGGGGACTTGAAACCTCAAACTCGAAGGTCAAGCTTGGGGGATAAGCGGGAAATCAACCCCCAACTGTCCGGACACCACAACGCATTGTGCCAGAAGCCTTCGGAGATAGACAGACCTCCGGGGTACGGTACGTGCAACATTGAGTCTCATTTGCAGCAGTTTCGGCATACAACGTGGGATTGGCCGCTATTGACGTCTAACACTTCTGCGAGGGGCTTCAGTCTTGCAAACCCGGGACGAGCTGGTCAACGTTGTTTGCTTTTTTCGCCACACACGATTTGATGGGAACGGCGGCCGAAAACTGAGAGACGTTAGGCACGTACTTAGCCTCTCGCGAATAGCCACCACAGCCAATGCAAGATGCAAGGGGTGGACAAGTTCCTTTCCTTGGTGCGCGAGGGTATAGGATGGATGCAGCCTAAGGCAGTCGGTGAGGGCACTAAGGAACGACGAGAGCAGGCGTTCTCGTCAACTCCAATCTGGTTCACAACCAGCAAGCCAAAAATGGCGGCTGATTCAACAACATTCAGTGTGGTCGATCTCTCACTTGTGGAAAAAATGTAAAGGATGCACATGACTTTGTATTGGGAAAAAAATGCTACTTCGTGCGAGTAATCGTAGCGATTACTCAGGGGTCGGTGCTTACCACTCCCGTGTCCTCTATAGCTTGCTTGTGCGAGGGACGCGAGCTTCTGAGCTTCTTCAGCAAGAAAAACCAGCCGCAAAATATTCAACAGCAGGCGTGGCCGACGACGGCGGTTGAAAACGATCGCAGGGTGATGCCCTCGAGGCATCTACATGTACCGTCTGTAGAGTAACACCGCGTGATTGTCGTGAAAGACGGCGTGCAGCCAACAAGCAACACGTGGGCTGTCGCTATTCGCAATTTGCACGATGCTCGACCCATGTTTGCAAGCGAACGGGTTTGCTTTCGACAGCAGTGAGGAACCGAATATGGTCGTGCCCGTTGTTGCTTCAACTTTCATTCAGTACATGAAAAAACAAAACGAAATGATCAACTCTTCTTTACATATGGTCTGTGCTGCCCACTGAGGGGAGAGATATAACCATACTCCCTGCCTACACACGGACGAGAGAGATGACCAACCCATTACATTTGAACACACGAACACCCACATATCGGTGATGGAACCTCAACCACACGCCTTACCTACGACCGACCACGTCAGGAGGCAATGATGAAAGAATGTTCTCCCGTGCCCTTCGCACATTTATGGGCATGAAATTACACAAAACTGGGAGACCACTCCCGTGTGCCGCACAATTTGACACAGATGCATGCATATGCATACCAAACTCAATTACTTACCAAATCATATTCCTCGCGTTAAATGCATACCAAACTGGAAATACACGTGTAAAATGGATGGAGATCCACAACCAACAGGGTGCCACACATAAAACACCCAACTAACTAACAGCCCAACACTTTTCGTCTACACCTTCCCAACATAACATATATAAGACACACAACACAGCTACCAAACTGTCTTGTTGAGCCTGTTATCCGCAGGGGAGATGTCCATATATGCTGTCTGGGAAATCGTGGACACACAACAGGTAGTTTTCTTTGACGCTATGATTCCATTGCTAATCTGTCTTTGACTCTTTTCTCTGACGGAAATGGACTCGTTGTGTTGTATTTGGANAAAAAAAAAAAAAAAAAAGGTCCGCGAGGGGCGGCGGTCGCACGGCGGACGTTATCAACCTGACCTAGTACATGACCATCGAATGCTTCAGCTGTAGGAGGCAAACGAAACAAGGCACAGGTGTGTGAAAGGACCTTTGCAGCAAAGGCACTTGCCACATGCTAATACCTGTCATTTCACGCGCTCACATGTGTAGTCTAGAACTTCAAGAACACTGCGGGCTATTGGTCATTCGACAAAGGTGCCCTTGCTCCTCAACCCTTCCACCGTCCCCCAATTTATGGATTGGACAAGTCGTCCAAGGCTTCACCTAATGTGGAACAGAGTAATCGACAACAAGACTGACAGCACGGGGGAAAGAGCGGTGTCTACCAAGGACATCTTAGCTGCGAACCTGGAGAGGAAAGCTCGTTTGTGTACAAGCACGGCAGACCATGGAACAGGCCAGGCCACGAGAACGGAGAACGACTCTAACCTTGTGCCGCCGTTCGCCGAAGATGGCGAGACAACAAACCTGTACCTCCCTCTTCACCACCCCACTCTACACTTCTTCGCTGACGTTAGAAAGCTCCTATCGTCTTCACGCGCGACCTGGCATACCCCCACACAGAGGTGGTGTAGTGCTGTAAGACGTGTCCTACCCACCTTCCATAAGCCGTGATTCAACCTTCTGGCAGCAGCTGCTTCCCCTTTCTTGCTGAAGAAGGGGCGCAGCACTCCCCACATCCGTTCCTCCACATGGTTCGTGTGCTCGCTACTCATTTTCCTCCGCTCCATGACGCAGCTTAGCTCGCCTCGCAGGAGTGGCGCTCTACCCTGCCTATTTCCGAATGACCAGCTAGCTCTGGAGCTGACCAGCCTCCTGGTGCACCAGCTGCTGACCAGCCTGCGGGGCTCCGGTGCAAAAAAAAAAAACAAGCAGTTCCAGTTGACGGTTACCAAAGATTACGAGTTCGAGTTCGGGTATTTTTTATTTGCATGTCGGCATGCGCAGTACAAGCTTCGGGTGGTTCGGCTATTCAACTTGGTTGAGGATATGCAAAGTATACGCGCATCGGTTCTGTAGCCTTTGGAGGGGAGGGAGGGGGAGTCGCTCGGTAGAGGCCACGGCAGTTTACATGCCAAGACAAGAACAACGACAACACCGCCACTAGGTCGAGGATTCGTCCAAGAGTATCCGCGGCATACATCATAAGCCACAGCAGGTTGCCGCTACGGGGCATAAAGTGGCGATGACACAAGACGAACACTGGATGGAGGCGCAGAGGAAGCGCATCAAGGAAGCGTTTGCTCTCTTCGACAAAGACAAAAAAGGCGAGAAGCTTCCACGGTAACTGTCCGTGTGGATATGTAGACATCTACCATTGCCTACAGTAGACAGATACCCGATATACTATTTGTGAACGCCCCCGCCTACTAATGCACAGGGAGAAACACATAAACTTTGAGAAACACCCCGCCGGCTTGTCTTGTACTTGGTCTATTGCCCGCCTGCCGTTGAGAACATCCCGAAGTGATGTTTGTTCGCCTAAATATTGTGTGGCGGGCTCAAAGCAGTAATCGATGGAAATCCAGCTCAAGCTTTCCGGCAATACGTCGTTGCTGCTGCTGTTGACTGGTTTTTGTCGCTGTTGTTGCTGCTGCCGTTGTTCTTATCCTAGTATTTGAAACCGATCCTCCAACAACCCAAAGTCGAGCAACAACACCGGCACATCCGCGGGCAGACACTCGAGTTGCGCTGTTGCAGGTCTACCGATTGCGCAACCCCAAAGTGCCGTACATGGTACTGCTACATGAAGACTCGGTAAATGTCAAGCGAAACCCTTACGCTTGCCCGTTGAACCAAAACCGACATCGAAACTACGCATGGACACACCGGCAAGAGAAAAACGGTGATGTTACAGGAAGAGGCATCATTCCCACGGAAAGGGCGGCGCAAGCTTTCCCAGTTGCCTTTGTTCTCTCTGTAAACGTCTTGCCATAGACTTCGTTCCGGCCCGACATCACGGGTTCCAGCGCGAGATGTTCATGGTAAATGTGTGTGTTACGAGGGGATGCCCCAAGCAAACAATCAGCCAACGCCACAGGAGACGTTCACCTCGGGATATGTTTCCATACTTTTGTTTTTTCGCACATTCCTCTGCTTTGCAGGACGTCACGAGGTGTTGTGTCACTCAAAAACTCAAACTACAAGCATAGACTATGCGGGGAGTTCACAAAGGATGTTGAGGTACATCCCCCTTGAGACGCCTTTCGGGCGAGTTTTCCTCTGGAACCGCAACAAATATTCTCGAACATCGTCCCAAGGCGGGCGTTGAGCATATGTAGACGTGGGCACTGAGAGAACGTTTCGAAAGGAAACGAAAAACGTCCGCGTACAACTTGGTTCGTATGTACGCAGTCATATGCACCAGGCTGTGGCTTGTGGTGCGATTTGCCTAATATTACCGCACAGGCCCTCACAATGTGCGCATCGCTAATCCAACAACGCGTGAGGACACCACCAATACATACACACATTGCCCACGACAAATAACAGCCAACCCCCTTTCTATTTGCATTGTCTTGCTTTTTCCAGGCACGCGCAATATTATAGAGTCCTTGACGGGCATAGATTTCGACGCAACCGGAAACGGACTCTCTCGAGACAACAATGCAATTGCCTTGACGACTGGTATGAACACACTTCGCAGGTAGTGTGGTGCAAGAGGAGGTTTCCACCATCATGCGATATCTCGGCGCGTACCCATCGGAGAAAGCCATCACTCAGGAAATATTGCCGGACATGCAAGTGAGGAAGCACGACGACAATTGGAACAGACAGGGCTGTCAGTAGTAGCATACTGACCGCAGCAATCAGAATCAAGACTCTAGCCGTGACCAGATATTGAAATATAGGAAGCGGACAAAATCCGCTCCGCTGGCGCTTCGGGTTTTTCATGTGTTGGAACGGTGGGCAGGAGTCCACTTCATGCACGTTGTTTCCAATTCTTCCAAGTATTATTTCCAGCATGGATGAAGGGATACTTTGCACGGTACATCGGGTTGCTACCGCCACCTCGGCAGTGCAGATCTCAAACTCGACCGGCTTGTTGCGTCAGGTATGGAGTGGTCAATGCCCCAGGTCTTTTGGGGAGAATTGGAGGGGGGGGGGGGGG